TCCAGTCCTTTTTATGCTGAGAGATCTCACTAAGTTGCTCAGGCTGGCTTCAAACTTGCATCCCTATTATCTAAGTTTCCCAAGTAATTGGAATTACAGGGGCTCCCCATCATGCCCAGATATTTTTTTAAAATTGCTTTGCTGGTGATCAAACTCAGAGCCTAGAGAGTCTATCACTGAGCTACATCCCCAGCCCTTTTTATTTTTTGAGATGGGGTATTGCTACATTGCCCAGGCTGGCCTCAAACTTGAGGTTCTCCTGGCTTGCTCTCCTCAGTTGCTGGGACTACAGGAGTGCCCCCTGTGCCACGCTATAGCTTATCTTAATGTCAAATTGTGTGATGTTTATATAATTAAAATCAACTTCACTATTTTACCTTTTGGCTTTCAGATGGAATTTTAGAAAATACCTAGCAAAGAAATAGTCCTGAAAGTGCTTCCTCTTAAGTTCTTTGGTATAATTTGGTCATTTTGATAGTAATCAATCCATTAAGTACTTTAACATCATGTATCAACAAAAATGCAATGAGGAATATGAATGTTTTGAAAACCACGACTGAAGACTAAATTATATTTCTGTCCTTGTGGAAAACATAACCTAAAATTTTACCTGTGTTTCTGTGGCAAAGATATTCCCTACTGCCTATAAGAACATCTCTAATTCAATTTATATTAAAGAAATGCTACCCATAAAACATCCCTTTTCTTGATTATTAGAATAACCGTTCTATACACTTTTTTAAAGTAGAAGAGGCAAGTGTCAGCTGGAAAAAAGAATAATTTGGAATTTCATAAAGTTACGCTCTTGTGCCTTCTGACTCATCGAGCGAACGCTTAACATTTAGAATTTCATGTCACTTTGTAGAATGTTAAGGATTATTATTATTATTTTAATTTCAGGAGGCAGCTAGTTTTCTTCCTGGAGCATCTTCTCTATTTCTTTATCCCAATTTTCATCCCGCTTCTCTGATTCTGTCACCACTTCATATTCTTGAAGCTCCTGTTGCAGCTCCTTTTCCCAATCAGCAGAATCTTCTGCAAGGAACAAAGGAGAAGGAAAAGAAAGATTTTTTGCTGAACTCAATGCTGGCGGTAGTAACAATTCAGGCAACTTTAATTACCTATGCGAGTCCTAGCCATGATAATTTATTTTTGTGGCTCTGGGGATAGAACCCAAGGGCCTCACATAAGCTAGGCAAGCTCCCCACCACTGAGCTAGCTCCCCAGCCCAATGTCTCAAGCTTCTTTATGCACTCAGAAAAAAAATTAAAGTGATCAAGGAACAATATAATTAGAACAATTTATTAATATGGAAACAAAGATGTCAGCCTCTGCTTGCCTCCTCAGGGGTCTCTGCTACTAGTGTCGTTACCCATTAAAGGAAGCCGTGGAAAGTTTTCTCTTGCTATTGCCTACAACACATGGGCTCATGCACTCCTTCCTTCTGTGGTGGCCAGAACCTACCCTTTTCTTATCAAAAAACAGACAGGAAGTGGGTGGGCTCTGGAGTGTAGGTTTTTCACTTGCCCACTTACTTCTCTTGACCATGCCCTACACCCTTCTTTCTCAATTCTGTCCTCAGAGTTCCTCTGAGATGGTAAGCAAATAGGGTTCAGGTTCACTTTTCTAGGCCACTTTTCTGAACAACTGTGGGAAGTGCTGGTTTGTTGGATGTCCTGTAAATCTGAAAAAGGTTTCAGGAAACTGTTCACTTGCTTTTTTTTTTTTTTTTCCTTTTGGGTATTGGAGATGGAACCCAGGGGCACTTTACCACTGAGCTACATTTGGTGTCCTTTTAATTTTTTTTAAATTTTTTTTCTTAAATTTTTTTTTAGGTGTAGATGGACACAACACAATGCCTTTATTTTTTTTAATGTGGTGCTGAGGATCGAACCCAGGTCCCGCCCATGCTAGGCGAGCGCTCTATCACTGAGCCACAATCCCAGCCCCTTAATTTTTTATTTTGAGAAAGGGTCTTGAGGGGCTGGGGATGTGGCTCAAGCGGTAGCGCGGTCGCCTGGCATGCGTGGGGCCCGGGTTCGATCCTCAGCACCACAAACAAACAAAGATGTTGTGTCTGCTGAGAACTAAAAATAAATAAATATTTAAAAAAAAAAAAAAAGAGAAAGGGTCTTGCTAAGTTGCTGAGGCTGGTCTTGAACTTACCATCCTCCGGTGTGAGCCTGTGACTTGGGATTATAGGTGTGCACCACTGCACTCAGCTAAACTCTTCATTTGATAATGATTAACTCAATCTTTTTTTTTTGTGGTACTGGGAATTGAATGCAGGAGGAGCACTTTACCACAGAGCTACATCTCCAGCCCTTTCTATTTTTTATTTTGAGATAGAGTTCAAAATAAGTTGGCGAGCTGGGTGGCACATGCCTATAATCTCAGTGTCTCCGGAGACTGAGGCAGGAGAACTACGAATTCAAAGTCAACTCAGCAAAAGTGAGGCACTAAGTAACTCAGCGAGACCCTGTAGCTAAATAAAATATAAAATAGGGCTGGGGATGTGGCTTAGTGGTCAAGTGCCTCTGAGTTCAATCCCAAGTACCCCACCCCCAAAAATAAGTTGGCAAGCCTGGTCCTGAACTTGGGGGTTTCACCAGGGGAGCTTTAATATCAAACCAAACTCCCAAATCTTTTGGGAGTGCTTAAGATAGAGGAACATAAGGTCTGATCATGTTTGCTAGCATCTACCTTCTAGTAGGAACAGAAATATATACTTTTTTGCAGTACTGGGCATTAAACCCAGGGCTTCATGCAAGCTAGGCAAGTGCTATATCCCTAACCTCTATTCTGCAGATTTTAATTGGCTTTATTTACAATTCTTGAATTGGGGCAGCAAGTCCTGATGACAAGGGGTACAGAATGCCATTGAGAATCAAATTTTTTTCTTTTTTTTTTTGTTGTGGTGCTGGGAATGGAAGCCAGGGCTTTTGCACATGCTAGGCAAGTGCTCTACCACTGAGCCACAGCCCCAGCCCTCCAAAAATCAACTTTGATGCCAAATTTACATTGCAGTTTTATATACTGGCTTTCCCTCTCTCTTTCGGTTTCTTGTTTTTCCATTGTATTTTTGGTACCAAGGATTGAACCCAGAGGCTTTAACCACTGAGCCGCATCATCAGCCCCCTTAGTATATATAATATTATTATATCATATAATTAACATAATATATAATCATATTATTATATAATTTTATGTTACATTAATTATATATTACATTAATAATATAAAATATAATCTTATATATAATTAATATAATTTATATATATAATATGTATATAAATAATTTTTTTGAGATGGGGTATAACTATGTTGCCCAGGCTGCCTGCCTTTGAACCAATTTTTCTGCCACGTATCTGGGATTACAAGTGCATGTCACCATACCTGGCTGTATATCAGCTTAAAGATAACATTTTTATGCAATCAATGTTGGATTTAAGGAAAAGAACAAGTTTCTTTCTTTTTTATTCATTTTTTTTTTTACCTTCGAGTCCAGCTGTCTCATTTTCCTTTTTGTCAAGCACAAGTTGCTCCATTTCCTTCCTTAAATCCTCCTGATTTAAGTTACAGGCATCGAAGGCATCACTGACAAACTCAGAAACGCCTGGGCTAGTAGAAATCTCCTCCTCATCCTGAAATGCAACACAAGAGTTCTTGAAATGATTTCCTCGGTGACATTTATGAGCTAGAATTCTGGCCTACAGTTGTCTCAGTGGAATACAGCCTGGTTTTTGTTCTCTCCTCTGCTAGCTGGAAGACAGTGACCACTGCTCTCCAACCGTCTAACTTGCACAGTTGCTTGGTAACTAAATGAGTTACCACCCGAGGCTATTATTTGTTCTCACAGTCTGGATCACTCTCACCATTTCTTCTAATCCCTGCTGAGCACATCTAGAATGATTTATGCCAGCAAGTCACCTAGTGTCAGCTGTTGGTCCTTGACTATTCAAATACTGGACTCCTTATCTTAGAAACAGAAAAGACCCACACTCCTAAGCAGTCTTAAGCGGTATCAGAGATCGTTAACTCAGTTACTTCATTTTCAGACATCAACTACTAGGTACAACATAAAACTGTATTACCTCTTGAGTTTTAAGCTGAGATTTGATTACGACAGGTGGCGTTTTGGGCCGTACTGCCTCTAAGAAGTGAGAATAAAAGAGAATAATTGCTTGATTCAGTTCTGAATACATATTACAATAACTGCTAAAATATCCACAAGTATAATGATACTAAATAATTTTCAGAAATGATATTCTATATTTTCAGCTTTTTGTTAAGTTATTACAAGAAATAGCCATGAGCAACCATCTCAAACTCTTGCTTTTGGGGATATTTTAATGTTACCATGTTGATTGTCCCCCTTTTTTGATGGGGGTACCAGGGATTATCTCAGGGGGCACTCAGCCACTGAGCCACATCCCCAGCCCTATTTTGTATTTTATTTAGAGCCTCGCTGTTGCTGAGGCTGGCTTTGAACTCACCATCCTCCTGCCTCAGCTTCCCGAGCTGCTGGGATTACAGGCATGCACCACTGTGCCCAGCTCTTGAATGCCCTTTATATAAAAATTTCCAGCAGGAAATAATTTTTGACTTCAGTGTTAGCAAAATTAATTCTGATCTTTGAGGATAATGAGAATGGAAGTTGTTTAGCAAAGTTTCCCTGTTGTCAATACTCAGTCACAGTATTCTCTTTCTCATGGGCCTCATATTTCTATCTTAATAAACTTAAAGATTGACACTCTTTACCAAATACTGTCTTAAGTCCATTTTGTTACACAGGCAGTATTTGGCAAAATGGTTATTTTTCAGTAAAAGTAATATTAAAAAAAAAAGGATAGACCATTGGGATGCAATATTAACATCTATAGTCCAAACGACAAATCACCCTGTGGGGAGGAACTTCATTATATTTACCTGACCCTAATGCAGTTTTGGAGTCTTTTCAACAGTCTATACAACCCCTAATCTTAGGTCATGCTGTTTTCCTTAATCATCTAAAATTCTGCAAACTAAAATTACCCCACTTATTGTGGGATGAATGTCCAGGTGCAATTAGTACCTACCTATACACAGCGGGTGCTCATACAAAATTAAAAATATTGCACAAAATACATTTTTTTGGGGGGCTGAGGATATAGCTCAGTTGGTAGACTGCTTGCCTTTCATGCACAAGGCCCTGGGTTCAATTCCCAGTACCACAAACAAACAAACTACAATTTATTTTGTATTACTCAATCAAACCCAAGGCCTCATGCATGCTAGGCAAGTGTTGTACCACTGAGCCACATCCCCAGCACCCACATTCCTTATTTTAATTAGTATAAGATATTTAATAGGTGCAAATAGTTGCTGATATCATAAAAGTCTTTCTCTCACAACCAGGGCTAACATGTCATAAGAAGAAAGCATCAAATGTTTAACTGAATAGAACTGAGCTTGGAGCAGGACACTTGTAATTTGGGGCACAACGGAGCTTTGCTCTACTCCACAGACCACACATACAGAGGAAACAAGGTTGAATGACAGTCCGAGAAACAAAGGGAAGGAGAGTGACTGAATGACAGTGGAGGTCAGGAAGTAGAACATGGTAAAGGGAAAGAATAGAGATGTGGGGAGGATGATTCGTGTTGGAGAGAGAAAAAAAAACCACCAAGAATAGCAAAGTAATGGAAGGCCTGGGGAAGATATGGGTGAGCTGGGTCAGAGAGAGGGCAACAAGAATGAAAATTTCCTCTGGAAATAAAAAGAATTTTTCTCTATAGTGATGTCAACATTTCTGGTACGTACAAGATGACAAGCTCATTAGCATCTCTAAGAAATTTTTTTTACAGTAATTCTCTTTTTCTGGAGTTGAAGTCTTATCCCCAGAACATACCTGTCAGAGGCAAATCATTCTCTCTATTGTTGCTTTTCTCCTCCTTTCCTGAGGCCTGCTGCTGGGCGGCCAGGGCAGTAAGCTGAGCTGACTGCTTAATCAGGGAGACGCGGTAAAAGTAGTTCCTCCAAAACACTTCTTCCTTCACCCTTTTAAAGATAGACAAAGGTGCAGGTGAGAATGAATGTGCATGCAGGGGCTATCTGTTGCAGAGGAGACCTGAATAAATGATTTTTTTTTTTTTTTGCAGTACTAGGAGTTGAAGCTAGGGCCTTATGCATGCCTGGCAACTGCTCTACTGCTGAGTTACACCACAGATGCTGGAATAGATGAGTTTTAGGAGAATTTTTATTTTATTTTATTTTATTTGAAATTAGCTTTATATAGTTATATATAATATCTAGGTTCATCCTGATAAGTTCATACATGCATGGAATTCGATTTCAGTTCATGACCCCCCCCACTTCCTCCCCTCCCCTGTTCTCCTTCCTCTATTCTAATAGATTTTCTTTCACTCATCTATTTATATTTGATTGGTTCTCTCTATCTATACATAAAGTTGAAATTCCCTATGTATATTTATATATACACATTTTTTAGATGTTGATGGACCTTTATTTTTTAAAAAACATTTATTTTTTAGTTGGAGGTGGACCCAATACCATTATTATTTTTTTTAATGTGGTGCTGAGGATCTAACCCAGTGCCTGACGCATGCTAGGCAAGCACTCTACCTCTGAGCCACAACTCCAGCCCCACATAACATGATTTTTAAGACTCCATTCTGAGCCAGGCACGGTGGAGGACACCTGTAATCCCAGCGGCTCCGGAGGCGAAGGCAGGAGGATTGCAAGTTCAAAGCGGCCTCAGCAATTTAGTGAGACACTAAGCAACGCAGTGAGACCTTGTCTCTAATAAAGTACAAAATAGGGCTAGGGATGTGGCTCAGTGCTCAACTGTCCCTGAATTCAGTCCCTGGTATAAAAAAAAAAAAAAAAAAAGAAAAGAAAAAGACTTCATCTGCATTGCCTTCCCTTCCTTAACCCTCCACTCTGTCTCTTGGTCTCCTTCTTCTATGTTTCTATGTTACTGATCCTCCCTTCATCTTTATGTTATCCTATCCTTCCCTCCCCTTCCTTAGGAGCATTTTTAAATCTGAATGTGGTTCAAAGGAAATTCTCATTTGCTTTACAACTCAAAAGCTGAACAACAGAATAAACAGAACAGCTATCTCCTCCTTAGTGGCAAAAAAAAAAAAAAAACAAGTTATATAACACCAATGAAAGTGCAGCATTTTTTTTTTTTAGGTACTGGGGATGGAGCCCAGGGCCTAGTGCATGCTAGGCAAGTGTTCTACTACTGAGCTACATCATCCATCCATTTCATTTTTAAATTTTATTTTGAGACAGGGTCTTACGAAGTTGCCAAGGCTTGCCTTGAACTTATGATTCTCCTGCATCAGCTTTTCAAGTTGCTGAGATTACAGGCATGACCCATCATGCCTGACTTCTTGGTATTTTAGTCTATTCTGTCCCACTGTCCCAGGTGTGCAACACGTACAAAAACTTAAATTGAGCAACACATATTATCCTATTTTAATGCACCTGTGCTGTTGAAACATTTACAGAGTTGAAATCTTGGGACTTAATGGGTTAAGGAGACCAACACTGCTCTTGGTAGAGGGAAACAGAATTATTGTGAGGCAGTGTGACCAAGGCAGGGGACTGGAAGCAGAGCCAGGACTCCACCAATCATTAGCTGTTTCCTAGAGGATTAAATGCTTTCAAACAGTAAGAAAGCATTGTGGGTGTTGTTCCTTATGAAAGAAAGGGGTGGGCAGCTTGCTAATTAACTAGCAACTGGTAAGAGTTAGTGATGTGGCAGGGGATGATTACAGAGCTTACTGCCCCCCTTGCCAGCTCCTGGTGCTGGGGACCAAACCCAGGGCCTCACCCATGATAGGCAAATGCTCAATCACTGAACTATATCCCCAGTCCTTTCGGGAAGTGGTTGATAAAATGAGTGAAGTGCAGTTCAACTTAAGAACTGTCGCTGGTTCTCAAACTTGGCTGCATATGAGAACTGCCTGGCATGGGGTGTTGGCATCCAAGTGGGTTAAGCTAAGTGCCTATGATGAGTGACCTGGAATGGAGTAAGAACCAAGGAGAGGAGGGGGTGAAGGCGAAAATAGAAGCTTGGTCACATGTGGGATTTAGCCCGGTGGCAGAGTGCTTGCCTAGCATATACAAACCCTGAGTTCAATCCTCAGCACTGAAAAAAAAATGCAATGATATTATGGTCATCACAACTGTGAATGGTGGAGCTGGGCCAGGAAACTAGTTTTTTAGTGTCGGGGACAAAATGCAAATAATCTACACAAGCTAGGCCAGGCAACAAGATGGAATCTGCTGCAAGATATGGCCCATCTTTTATTTTATGAATTCCACTAATATTTATGAAGTGTCACATGTGTCAAGCATCATGTTAGGTGCTGGAGGGATGCAGGGATGGATAAAACAAGTTGTCTGCCATCACAGATAGTCAGTCACAGGCATAGTAACCTTTCACTTGTTAAACTCTTTTTGGTACTGGAAATTGAACCCAGGGGCACTTTACACTGAGTTACATCCCTAGTCCTTTTTTAATTTTTATTTTGAGACAGGGTCTTGCCAAGTTGCCCATGCTGGCCTTGAACTTTCAATCTTCCTGCCTCAGCCTCCTAAGTCACTGGGTTATAAGCAAGTACCACCCTGCCCAGCTTATTAAGTTCTTACTATGTACCAAGCATTTCCCGAACCCATGTGGTTACATGTCTCTTTTTCTCTGTTATTCTTTTGCAGTATGGTGATTGAACCCAGGGCCTTATGCATGTTAGGCAAGTGCTCTACCACTGAGCTACATCTCTAGTTCTATTTATTTATTTGGTACCAGGGATTGAACTCAGGAGCACTCAACCACTGAGGGACATCCCCAGTCCTATTTTGTATTTTATTTAGAGACTGGGTCTTGTTGAGTTGCTTAGTGCCTCACTTTTGCTGAGGCTGACTTTTAACTCAGCGATCCTCCTGGCTCAGCCTCCCGAGCCGCTGGGATTACAGCCATGTGTCACTGTGCCCGGCTATTCATTTAAGAGAGGCTAGTCTCACTATGTTGCCCAAGCTGGCCTTAAACTTTAAGCCATCAAACTGCCTCAATCTTTTGAGCAGCTAGGATGACAGGCATGTACCACAGTGCCTGGCTCACAACTCTCTTTTTCTCGTAACATCTTTTGGAAATAGTTCTGCAAAACGGAGAGCTGGCTTACCAGCAGTTTATAATTGGTTATGGCTGACCGCAAGTTTAACTGAGCAAGCAACAGTATATTACAGCTGCCAAAAGAGCTAATGAAGCAGGCACAGTGGTGCAGACCTGTAATCCCAGCAACTCACAAGGCTGAGGCAGGAGGATCACAAGTATGAGGTCAGCCCGGGCAACTGAAAGAGATCCTGTCTGAAAATAAAAAAATAAAAGGGTTGGGGTGTAGCTCAGTAGTAAAGTGTTCCTTAATCCTCAGAACCAAAGCAGGGGCAGGGTGTGGGGAGAGGTAATGAAATCTTCACCTACATTAAAAATTGCACAAGAGAAGTCTTCTGCAAGTAGGAAACATCATATTCACTCCTGAGAATTCATTTTAATGGGGACACTGACAATTCAAAAGGTATCTAGAGCTGGGAGTGGTGGCACACGCTTGTAATCCCAGCAACTATAGAAGCTGAGGCGGGGGCTGGGGATGTGGCTCAAGCGGTAGCGCGCTCGCCTGGCATGCGTGCGGCCCGGGTTCGATCCTCAGCACCACATACMAACAAAGATGTTGTGTCCGCCGAGAACTAGAAAATAAATATTAAAATTCTCTCTCCCTCTCTCATTCTCTCTAAAAAATAAGTAAATAAATAAAATAAACTTTAAAAAAAAAAAAAAAAAAAAAAAGAAGCTGAGGCGGGGGATTGCAAGTTTGAGGCCAGCCTCAGCAACTTAATGAGGCCCTAAGCAACTGTCTCAAAAAGAAGAAGGGCTGGGGATGTGATTCAGTGGTAAAGCACCTCTGGGTTCAATCCCTAGTAGCAAAAAAAAACCCTAAAAAACAAAACAATAACAACAACAAAAAAAATCAACAATGGTATTTGGAGGTAAATCACCTATATAGTAAGGAGGATACAGAGGTAAAGAGAGGGGCTGGGTGTGATGGCACACACCTGTAATCCCTGTGACTCGAGAGGCTGAGGCAGGAGGATCACGAGTTCAAAGCCAGCCTCAGCAACTTAATGAGGCCTTAAGCAACTCAACAAGACCCTGTCTCTAAATAAAACACAAAATAGGACTGGAGATGTGGCTCAGTAGTCAAGTGCCCCTGAGTTCAATCCCTGATACCCCCACTCCAAAAGAAGACCCCCGAGGAACTAAACATTGGGCCTGTTTAACCTGACAAGCCCCAGAATCTTAAACCATATAACATCGGAACCATACAAAAGTGAACTGGCCCTTCCCAGGAGGTAGTGGGTTGCCTAAATCCCTCTTAATTCTAAGCTCCATGAAATGCCCAACATGAACCATGGGTGTACTTATGTCTCCATGGTGACTCATGGGCACTGTTTGCTCTTCAGATTAACAAAAACAACCATTCAGCCAGGCATGTCTTTAATCCCAGCAATATGAAGTCTGAGGCATGAGGATCACAAGTTCAAGGCAAGCCTGGGCAACTTAGTGACACCCTGTTTCAAAATAAAAACTACAAAGGGGCTTGGTGGTGGAGTACTCTTGGGTTCAATCCCCAGTACCATAAACAAAGAAAAAAATTATCAGCAGAGAGGATCCAAAATAGTCAAGAACCAAAATTGTGGATATTCCTGCCCTAAGTACCTTGGGCTATAGGTCCCACCAACTTAGCACTTGATGATACTTGACATGAGTTATGACAGGGAGCCCAGCACATGGCCCAGAGTGATTTGAATGATCCTGAGGTTAATGGAGTCTAAAGGTCATGAAGCCCACCTGGACCCCACAGCCTTGCTACTCTTCCCTCGGAGGCAGTTATACAGACTAAGCATGATCTCAAATTATAAGATGAAAGAGCTTCAAACAGATAGGCACTCATACACACATTATATATATAAAGGGTTTAAAAGTCAATGCCTGGGGCTGGGGTTGTGGCTCAGTGGTAGAGTGCTTGCCTCACACATGTGAGGCACTGGGTTCGATCCTCAGCACCACGTAATGATAAACAAAATAAAAATTTAAAAAAAGTCAATGCCTGCTGGGCGCAGTGGCACATGCCTGTAATGCCAGCTACTTGGGGGGTCTGAGGCAAGAGTATTGCAAGTTCAAGGCCAGCCTGGGCAACACAGCAAGACCTTGTCTCAAAATTAGAAAAGGGCTGGGCATATACTTTGGTGATAGAAGCCCTGGATTCAATCCCCAGAACCACAAAAAGCCCCCCCCCCGCCCCCAAAAGCAAATTTCTAAAGTTTTATGAGCATATGCAATGAAACATTAGATGGGGGCTGAAGTTGTGGCTCAGTGGAGCACTTGCCTGGCCTGTGTGAGGTCCTGGGTTTGATTCTCAGCACCATATAAAAAAATAAGTAAAATAAAGGTATTGTGTCCATCTACAACTAAAAGAAATATTTTTAAAAAATTAGATGGTACATTTTCTTTATATCATTGACTTTTAAAAGGAGCTATTTTTAGACAGCTCTATAGATGAGATTTGTAATGAAATTTTAGCCATAAAACATGTTTTTTGGGGCTGGGGCTGGGGCTCAGTGGCAGAGTGCTTGCCTAGCATATATGAGGCACTGGGTTCGATTCTCAGCACCGCATATCAATAAATAAAATAAAGGACAATTGACAAATTTAAAAAAACACATGTTTTTCTTTGGGGAGGGTAGGTAAAGCTGTAGAAATTTACCACCAATATGTTAATAATTGTGGAGAGAAGAGTTTCACTATAAAGAAAAAAAAAACAGAAAGAAAGGATTCTATATAACTGGTTTTTCACGTCTGGAAGATCATTTCAAAAGAGGTGCTTTCATAGAGACAAAGACCTGTGCTCCTGTGTGGACCCAAAGGCTAGGCAATATTTGTCAAAATCCCTATGTGGCCAGCTAAACATAGCAAAACAAACATGTGCTCATCTCAACTCCCTCGGAAAATGCCACGGAAATAACAGAAAAGGAATTAAACAGATTAATCCCACAAGGACGACGAGAACAGGAGAGCGAGGGACGGTGGAAGCTGAAAAGTCAACAGGCAAATAGTAACCTACTTTGTTGACCAGAGAAAGCTGCGCCGGGCTGCCTGCAGAAGTGGGGGTGTGCAGCCAGAGAGAAGCAGGCCCGTTTATTGGGTGGGAGATGCCAGGCCTTTTCTGATTCCTATCTATAGCCAGCCAGGAGGCTGAGGAAACGTCTATGGGGAAGCTACTCTTTTTTTTTTAATTTATACATGACAGTGAAATGCATTACAATTCTTATTACACATATGGAGCATGATCTTTCATATCTCTGGTTGTATATGGGAAGCTACTGTTATAGCTACTGAGCTACCACAATCCAAAAGGCCTGTCCCAACATGGAGTGTCCAAGTACCCTTTAAGCACAGCACCATTACTGCAGAAGAATGGGTAAGCAGGGCCTGCAACACAAACAACAGAGCCCAAAATAAACAGAGATTCTGAGAAAACCACATAGGAGGTAGGCGTGGTGGTGCATGCCTGTAATCCCAGCAGCTTGGGAGGCTGAGGCAAGAGGATCACAAGTGCAAGGTCAGCCTCAGCAACTTAGTGAGGCACTTAGCAACTCAGCAAGACCCTGTCTCTAAATAAAATATAAAAAAGGGCTGGGGATGTGGCTCAGTGGTTAAGTACCCCAGGGTTCAATCCTCAGTGCCAAAGAAACAAAAAACCAAACAATCCACATAGGAAAAAAAAATGTATGTCAAGAAAATTATAATCCATGTCCCAGGGAAGAGGAAGATCATGTATCCAAGAACAAGAGTAAGAGATCTAAAAGTGCCTGTGATGCCACCTACTCAGGAAACTGAAGTAGGAAGAGTGCAAGTTCAAGGCCAGGCTCAGCAACTTAGTGATATCCTGTCTTACTGTCTTAAAAAATGAAAAGAGCTGGAGGTGTTGCTCAGTGGTAGAGCACCCCTGGGTTCAATCCCAAGTATTCTCAAAATAAATAAACAAACAAACAACAAAAAACCCAGTATTATTAAACATGATAGAAACCTGGTGTGGTGGAGCATGCCTGAAATCTCAGTGGCACGGGAGGCTGAGACAGGAAAATCACAAGTTCAAAGTTAGCTTCAGCAACTTAGTGAGGCCCTAAGCAACTTAGCAAGACCCTGTCTCAAAATAAAAAATAAAAAAGGGCTGGGGATGTGGCTCAGTGGTTAACTGCCCCTGGGTTTAATTTCTGATACCAAAAACAAAAACAAAAACCCAAACAAACAAACAAAAAAAACCCCAACACATGCACACAACAAATTCAACACAAGGAAATGAACTAGAAAAGGATGAGGAAAGGAACACAAAAGCCAAAGGAAGCAGCAGAGGAGAAGGGTGCCCCCTGCTGGCAAAGCCAGGTCTGAGAGCACATGCTTATTTATGATGGAGCTAAAGGGACAGCAGGGATTTTCTGAGTGGGGAAAGGCCTTCAGGTGGAGGAAAGACTACAAGAACAAGAACAAAACACAGCTGCTGGAGAGCAGAACCTGAATAGAGAACATCCTTGGCTTGAAAAAAGGCAGGAGCCTGTTCTAAAATGGCAATGGTCTTAATGAGCTCTGTAGACCTGACTTTTATTTGAGGAGACACAGGAATATTTGTTGTTTCTGAAAGAAAATGTGTTCCACCTTCTAACTGGGATAAGAGCACATCCTATCCTCACCACAAACTTCCTGCCAAGTCGGTCCTGGGTTTGGAGTCGATGGCACCCTGCCAGCTGGGAACTATGAAGGGCTGCAGGGCCCATTTTTATGGGTGGATAGTCTTGAGACTATCCTGGCCCTCTCTTTGACGATTCTTCCCTGTCACTGTGCACATAACCATGGCCATCAGGAAATGGAAGTCAGAGCTGTGTGAGCAGCGCCACTCCAGCTTGGGAACAGTGCTTACAGTTTAGGAACCAGGGCGAATCTCATCTTGCTCAGTAACTCGTCCTCTTGGAGCATGACCAGGGCAACGGGGTACATCTGGTCAAAGTCGAAATTAAATTGCACACCAGCTGGAGGGTCGCGAAGGAAATTCCTCTTGTCCTTTGATGAAAAGGGAGAAAAACATGGGGGGGGGAGACCACAAACTGCAATTAATAGGTCACAATGTTCATAGATTGGACAAGTATTGAATTCCACCTAGAGCCTTCAGCCACAAAGTCCACTAAGCTATCACTGACCTACCCACTTAAGAGAGACTAGAGAACAACGGATCCTTTCATGGATTTTTTAACACTCACCTGGAGAGAGCCTCTTGGGAGGCCAGGCAATTCAATCATGTGACTGGCTGAAAGCACATATTTTGAAATCATACAGGCACACGTTTGTTTTAGTGGGCACCATTAGGTATGTGAAAAACGAGTGTAAATCCTCTTAGAAACATTCTGACCCAAAGTTGAAGAGTCAGTGAGCCGTGTGGTCATGTGGGAAAAGTGAAGTCCACAACCCATCTCATTTCTTTTTTCTTTTTTGCAGTGCTGTGGATCAAACCCAGGGCCTCACACATCCCAGAAAAGTGCTAGGCGCTTGCCTATCACTTTTGAGCTACACCCCCAACCCTTTTTCTTTCTTTCTTTCTTTTATTGTGTGGTGCTGGGGATTGAACCTTCTTGTGCATACAAGGCAAGCACTCTACCAACTGAGCTATATCTATAGCCCGCCCTTTCTTTCTTTAGAAAATGTTTTCATTTATTTTTTTTTTATTTCCAGCCCTTTTTAACCAGTAAGGGAGACAGTGGTTCTTCTCAGAGTGGGTACAAATTATTGCTCAATACTTACCCACTATTCTGGCCTATTTGCTAAGGATTCCAGGAAGCAAACACCTCTATTCTTATTTTACACATGAGGAAAAAGGGTCAGGGAAGCAAAAATGGCCTGTCCAAGGTCAGGCATGTGGTCTATTGAGGGGCACAGCCAGAACTCCAAGTCTGCCCCTCCCAGGTACAGTTCTGCTTTAGCAGAGTTTCAAACTCAGTGTGCTATCTTGCACATCATGTAGGTTTTCTGGACACTTTAATCCAGAACAATCACTTGACTCTGCAAGATGAACACTGCCACAGGGTGGGATACTACCCACAGGGATGGTGACACAGCAAGATCCTGCCACCTTAGGTTTATGAACTTGAAAGTTAGTTGCTTCTAACTTTTTCACACAATCCTTTCAACAGATCACTCCTGGACACCTGGTGCCTCTTGCTAATTTCTTTTTATTTAAAATTTTTGGTGCTGGTGATCAAACACAGGGCCTTGAGCATGCTAGGCACATGCTCTACCACTGAGCTACACCCCCAGCCCTCCTTATGCAAGTTTCTGATGCCAAAGGCATTGTGCTAGGATGCACACAACAGAGAGAGGAGAGGAGAATAACTGGCTCCCCTCAACTTTTCCTTGACCTGTTATAAACCAACCTTTTTTTTTTTTTAGTGCCCAGGGATTGAACTCAGGGGCACTTGATCACTGACTCCGCAACCCTATTTTATATTTTATTTAGAGACAGGTTCCTAATGAGTTGCTTAGCGCCTCGAAGTTGCTGAGGCTGGCTTTGGACTTGTGATTCTCATGTCTCAGCCTCCCAAGCTGCTGGGATTACAGGCCTGTACCACTGGCCCAGCAATCTTTTTTTTTTAGTTGGGGATTGAACCCAGGGGTATTTAACCACTGAGCTACATCCCCAGCCCTTATTAATTTTTATTTTGAGACAGGGTCTTGCTTAGGGCCCTTTCTAAATTGCCAAGGCTGGCTTTGAATTCGTGATCCTCTTGCCTCAGCTTCCCAAGATGCTCGGATTACAGGTGTGCACCACAGCATCTGGCCTAAATTACTTTTTATTTTGAGATAGGGTCTCATTAAGTCTTTGAGGCTGGTCTTAAACTTGGGATCCTCCTGTATCAGTTTTCTAGTCACCGTCTCCCAAGTCACTGGGATTATAGGCATGTGCCACCATACCTGGCCAAAAGTGTCCTTTTAAGGCTGAAAGAATTTTCACATAATAGGCTATACTTTTACATTATGAAAAAAAAACCTTAAGGAAAACTAATTGAAAGTAAGAAGGGCTGACAATGTAGTTCAGTAGCAGAGCACTTATCTAGCATGTAGTAGCCCTGGATTCAATCCCAAGCATGGCCCAACAACAACTAAAAAGCCCAAATCTAGAAAGTTAATAAAAAATAACAATAACAGTTGATGTGGACATTTCTAACATCTCAAAATGTTTAAGAAAAACTACAGAAGAAAAAATTCAGTTAAGGACAATAATATCTACAGAGATGTACAAGGATAGGAAGTAAGTACTTTATATTCAGGATATCTCAAGAAACTTACAGCGGATAAGGCCAAGATTTGTTGTTGAATTGTTTCTTCATCATTACTGTCGACCCATGGGGGCACAGCTGCTTCTGTATAGTTTTTAATGGCAAAGAAGAAAGGAGAATAAAATAGGTTATAATGGTTCCACTGTAATCTATGATTTCAAAGAATGAGAAAGTTTCTACATGACTACTTAAAATGGCAATTTAGCAATAAGTTCCCAGACATGAACATTCATTGTAATATCCAGACTTAATTTATGAATTTGATGCATTTGGTAAAACTTTATGAATTTGGTAAAAAATAACTCTACTTGAATGATACGATGGAGAAACTGGATAATACCTTAACTAGGTGATCAAAATCAACGTCATCAACAAGGTGGGAGAACAACACTGTAGACCTCCAGATGTGATATCCTGAGGATACACCACCACCTACATGATATACTGGCCAAGAATTCATAATATGAATCTAATGATGAGGAAGCATCAGACAAAGCCTGAATGTAAAAGGAGGAAGAGGAGTATTCTTCAAAACATTAATGTCATAAAAGAAAAAGAAAGGCTACTGGAATGTTCCATATTAAAGGAAGTTAAGTAACATGTCCAATATCTTGTCCTTGATTAGATTCTGTACTCGGGGGAAATGTTATAAAGGCTGTCACTGGGTCAACTGACAAAATTAATGGATAAATGATAGAGCATTATATGAATGTTAAGTTTCCTAATGCCATTAACTATACTATAATTATGAAAGAGAAGAAGCCTAGGTTCTTTGGAAGTGCATACTGAATGGATCAGGAAAAAAAAAGACACACAGACACAGCAAGAGCGAGGAGATACTACACAAATGAACAAAACTTTAATGTTCTAGGTACTGGCAATTGGGTGTTCTTTGCATTGTTTTTATTATTGCAACCTTTCTGTAAATTGAAATAATTTTCCAAACAAAAAGATTTTTAGGAAGTTACTGTAATTGATTTATGACAAAAGGTGATGAGGATTGGTTCTAAGTGAGTGATCAGGCAAGGACAGGCTGGTGCATACCTGTTGTCCCAGCTACTCAGGAGGCTGAGGAAGGAGGATCCAGGAGTTTGAGGCCAGCCTGGGCAACTTGGAAAAACCCCATTTCAAAATCAAAACCCAAACCAAAGCAAGATATGTGACTGGGGGGCTGGGATTGTAGCTCAGTGGTAGAGCGCTTGCCTCACACTCATGAGGCTCTGGGTTCGATCCTTGGCATCACATAAAATAAATAAAAATAAAGATATTGTATCCATCTACAATTAACAAAAATTTAAAAAAAAGATATGTGACTGGGAATGAGAAAGGGTTTTGGGGAGTGAATGTAAATGAAAATTAAAAGACAAATCAAAGGCAATAAATAATAGGCCTGGATCAAATCCTCAATGAGCAGTTAGAACCTAAACACTGGGAATACCCAAATGACACAAATGCAGCCCAAGTGTTTTGGGGCCTACAAAATAGAGATGATTAGAATTCAGCTCTGTAAATTCCATGTCAGACAACAAATGACAATCCCCTGGAGAAGTGTGTCCTCTAAGGTTTCCTGGGTGTGTTCCCTAAGGTGACCTGGTATTCTTTTTTTTGTGTGTGTAGGGGGGTACCAGGAATTGAACTCAGGGGTATTTAACCACTGAGCCCCATCCCCCAGCCCTATTTTATATTTTATTTAGAGACAGGTTCTCATTGAGTTGGTTAGTACTTTGCCATTGCTGAGGCTGGCTTTGAACTTGCGATCTTCCTGCCTCAGCCTGCCAAGCTGCTGGGATTGCAGATGTGTGCCACTGCACCTGGTCCATAAGGTGACCTGGGAGCCCTGTCTTAGACTAGAGGAGAAGGAGGTTCATGATGGATGGGGTGGGGTATTCAGAGTGGAGAGGAAAGCAATGAGGGGGACGCTTTTTTCCCACCTGTGCAGTGTGCAGCTGGAGAAGGTCAGTATACACTACAAAGAAGCCAGGAGCAGGGCGAGGGGAAAGAGGGAATGGTGTGGAATTGGGAGACCAGAATAGAAGATATACATACAGGTGTTGGGGGGGGAGTCTTTAATACTCTACATTCAGCAGCCCCCAACAGCAAGACTAGGATGGGAAGTGCTTAGAGCACAAATTCCACATCACCTTTCCAGCGGGTATCAGATTCTAGCACTACCAATTGCGTGACAAATGTCGGACCCAGGGAAATCCATTTCAAGGTGAAAAGGCAATTGTGCGCTGGAGTGCCTGCTTCTACTCTGCCCTCATTCTGCACTCCAATGAGGTGACCGTCATGGAGGATCGCTCAAAGCCCTCATTAAAGCAGCTGCTATAAATGTTGAACCTTTTCAGCCTGGCTTGTTTGCAAAGACTCTGGCCAATGTCAACATCAGGAGCCTGGTCTGCAATGCGGGGGCTGGCAGACCTGCTCCAGCAGCTGGTGCTGCAGCAACAGGAGGTCCCGCCCTTCTGCTGCTGCTGCTGCCCTTCTGGGCAGAAGCAAGCAGAAGTAAAGAAGGAATCTGGTCTGATGATCCTTCTTTATTAAAGAAGGGGCTTTACTAAACCCCTACTGTAGCTGTTCAATAAAAAAGGTGAGCTTTTATTTTTTAAAAAAAGTGGGGGGAGGGTAAATTTTGCAAAATGCACAGTCAGAAAAGTGACTCTGGAGAAAACTGCCTGCATTACCACAAAGCCACCAACAAAGAGGACCGGGCAGTTAGGGCAGCGATAGCTGAAGGAAACATAAGTCTGGTGACCTAGCAGATACTTCAAAAGAGCTTTTGAAGACCAAGGGGTGATCATGACAGGCTCTTGGGATGAATACTGTCTTGGAATATTTTTGTAGAAATAACCCTTTTATTGCAATAGTCAAACGGAAGGCACATCCTTATCGTGTACCGAGTGTGAGAAAAGTTATGCGTAAGTATGGATGGACACACGGATGGCTGGAGAGAGAAGCACATAGTTCTTTCTTTGGTTCATCCTAAACCAGCAAATGGTAGCAATTATTGTGGGGAGCCACATTGAGTTACCACGCTTTCCAGTCCTGATGCACCATGGGGATCTGAAAGATCACTGTACTCTGGTGCAGTAGTGCCATGACTGGTCACTCGGTCTTTTCCCCCTGCTCAGATAGCAAGGCCAGTCTTCTGAGTAGGCATACCCCTAGGGGTGAGCTACACTCACTTATTCTTTTGTAATCCTAGCCCTTTGCCCTGTTCGGGATAGAATGTTCCATGGAAACTCCCTTTGTATGTCCCCTTCTCTTGCTCTGCCTTTGGGTGTGGCCTTCCTAGATGTTAGTCAATCAGCTGACTGAAATCTGACCCCTTGCTTCATTTGAATGGCTTCTCCCCAATAAAAGGGTTCAGCATGTGCTCTCTCTCACTCTTTCTGCAGACCCCTAAGGTCAGAGGAGCAGTCAGAGGACCCAAAGAAAAAGGTACCTCTGTCTCTGTGTGGTTATTTTGTGTAACCCAGTTCACCTGGAGTGACCCTGAGTGTTTAGTCGTGGAATGTGATACATTCTGCTAATTTTTTTGGTACCAGGGTTTGAACCCAGGGGCACTTAACAATGAAGCCACATTCCCAGCCCTTTTTATACTTTACTTAGAGACAGGGTCTTGTTGAATTGTTCAGGGCCTCACTACATTGTTGAGGCTGGCTTTGAACTCACAATCCTCCTGCCTCAACCTCCCAGGCCTCTGGGAATTACTGGTGTGCACCACCACACATGGCTACATTTTAAGATAATATAAACATATTTTCATACTTTAGAGAAAAAAATTAGAGTACAGCACCCCAAGACACTTTTCCCCACACACACTTTACTAAACATTTGGTGCCCATTTTAAGTTCTTTACCTTGGGTCACCCCTCCCAGCACTGCTTATCTTCAGATGAGGTCCCTCCCAAGGCCCAAGTTATTGGGTATGAAGGAGACTGCCCCTCCCACCCCTGATTCTTCTGAAATTGCTCTTTGTAGGGTGGCCAATAACCTCCTGGTTACCTAAACTCCTAAGGATACTTCTTAATTCTTTTTTTTTTCTACAGCAGGTTTCCTTATCTGCAAATTGATAAGGAAAGTACTTCCCTGGGTGCTATGACCATGAGAACAAATGCAGGAGAAACATCCCCCACCCAGTGCTTTTTGTTGGTGGTGCTGGGGACAGAACCCAGGGCTTTTCCCATGCTAGACAAGTACTCTATCACTGAGCTACCTGCCAGCCCTGCAGGGTGCCTTTTTTCATGGTCACTGTAACTGCACCTCTCAGCCTATTCCTGGAAATTCTCCCCCTCTGGGCTTCCATTATTTGTCTTGCCTAGGGGTCTCCTCTCTTGGGTAAATGGGCATTGGAATTATTTTTTGTAGTGCTGGGCAATCAGACCCAGGACTCTATGCATGCTAAGCATGCATTCAATCACTAAGCTACACCCCTAGCTCCTGGGATTGTTTTTTGTGAGGGGGGCAGTACTACTGACTCAACCTAGGGGCACTTTGCCACTAAGCTGTATCCCTAGCCCTTTTAATTTTGAGACAGAGTCTGGCTAAGTTCCTAAGGCTGGCCTTGAACTTGCAATCTTCCTGTCTTATCCTCTTTCAGTCACTCAGATTACAGGTGTGCACACCATCATACCTGGTTGGGCACTGCTTTTTTTTTTTTTTTAAATATTTTTTAATTGTTGATGGACCTTTATTTTATTTATTTATATGTGGTGCTGAGAATCGGCCCCAGTGCCTCACACATGCTAGGCAAGCACTACTCCACTGAGCCACAACTCTAGCCCCTTGGGCATTGGCTTTAATAGTAGATTTCAGTTTTGTCACTTTGTGACTTTCAGCAAATTTCTAATTTTGCTGACTGCATCCTTTATTAAATGAGATGCTGTATACAAAATGTCTGTTACTTAGCAGGCACCGGATAGCTGTCAATTCTTCCATTCCTCTGTTCCCTAAATACTGTGAATCTTCTCATCTCCCTTTATGCTTGACACACTCTTATGGAGGAGCTCATCTATTTTTATGTGACTTGACTATTAATCTGTATCACTACACTGAATTCTGTTCTATGCTTTAGACAGGAGCAAATGACTACAGGAACCAGATAATTTATTTAAAGCTGAAGTGATGAACATGACTTTCTATAATGATGGAAATGTTCTAGATGTGCAGGGTCTACACAGAAGTCATTAGCCTTCTGCTGGTTGGGGTGGTGCATGCTTGTAATTCTAGTGACTTGAGAGGCTGAGACAAGATCTTAATTCAAGGCCAGCCTTACCAATTTAGTGAGACCCTATCTTTTTTTTTTTTTTAAAGAGAGAGAGAGAAATTTTTTAATATTTATTTTTCAGTTTTTGGTGGACACAACATCTTTATTTTATTTTATGTGGTGCTGAGGATCGAACCCAGTGCCCCATGCATGCCAGGCGAGCACGTTACTGCTTGAGCTACATTCCCAGCCCAAGACCCTATCTTAAAATTTAAAAAATAAAATAAAAAGGGCTCAGTGGTAAAGTGCCCCTGGGTTAAAACTCTAGTACCAAAAATAAATGAATAAGTAAATAAATAAATTTTAAAATAATAATAATAAAAAGGAAGTCATCAACCATGGGTGGTTATTGAGCACTAAAAAAGGTGGCTAGTGCAACTAAGGGACCTCATTTTCTCCAGATAAACCACCTGTGTTCTCTTCTCTGCCTCTGTACCCCCTTCCTCTCACCAGGATGTCTAATGGGTACCTCAAAACTGAAATGGCCTCCAAGTTTTTCAGTCCCACTCCCTCACAATTCCTAACGCAGAGGCACCTACAGCAAGCAGCCCACCAGATCAGCTTTATTGCTTCCATTTAATCACAAAATTATGCTAACTTGTATAGTTTGTCCAAAAGAGCTCTTCACATTTTTTTTTTTTGTCCTAGGGATTGAACCCAAGGGCATTTAAGCAATGAGCCACATCCTCAGCCCTTTTTATGTTTTCTTTAGGACAGGGTCTTGCTAAATTCATTAGGCCCTTGCTAAACTGCTGAGACTGGCTTTGAACTTATGATCCTCCTGCCTCAGTCTATTGACCAATCCCAGGGATTATAGGTGTGTGCCACTGTGCCCCCAGCTACTTCACACTTTTAAAAAATTTTTTTCTTTTTCTTTTTGGGTACTAGGGATTGAACTCAGGGGCACTTGATCACTGAGCCCCATACCCAGCCCTATTTTGTATTTTATTTAGAGACAGGGTGTCACGGAGTTGCTTAGGCCTCACTTTTGCTGAAGCTGGCTTTGAATTCGAGAACCTCCTGCTTCAGCTTCCTGAGCTGCTGGGATTATAGGTGTGTGCCATAGTGCCTGGCTGCTTCACATTTTTAAAAGTTTTTTTTTAAAATATTTATTTATTTATTTTTTAGTTCTCGGCGGACACAACATCTTTGTTTGTATGTGGTGCTGAGGATCGAACCCGGGCCGCACGCATGCCAGGCGAGCGCGCTACCGCTTGAGCCACATCCCCAGCCC